GGCGATTTGACCACGCGGCACGCCACGTTGGCAAATAGTTTTGTAGGAAGCTTTTTTATTTATATGCAGTTTAATATTTTTATTGGAAATAAGGCATAATGTCACTTTAAAATAAGCTTATTTTGATGTTTAGATTTTTAATTCGGAAATCGTTTTTAAAATACCAAACATTAATAAATTTTATTTATATAAAACGATTTCCGAAGTATAAATCAAAATGTTATATTACACTTATTGTAAAGTAAAATTGTGGCATATTCCCAATAAAAAACAATAAGCTGCCATTTAAATCCATTTCGCCCAAATTTCATTATCTTGGAGCATTGTTCAAATGCGAAAAAGACAACAGGTCAAATAAAACCAATAAGTTTGGCAACGTTGAATTTCCCCTTTTTATTATATCCACTCCATATCCACTCATTTATGTTCGGTGATATAAAAGGCGGACACCTAATATATCTCTCTCTTTTTAAACAGTTGTTTCTCACTCCATCTCATGTAAGGTCCATACCGACCATAAACTTTTACCTATACTGTCTATAGTATTACTAGTAAGTAATCATAGTATCTTCAATTATCTGGGCGAATAATATGGTATGGTATCATATCATCTTCCATTATCTGGACGAATCTAAAGTCATCCATTGCTTCACCTGTAGTTGAGAGTAGGTACTAATTTTTGTATTCAATTTAAAGAACATTTAATATTTTCTTACGAACTTTCTAGCTACTAAGAAATTTCAATAAATAATAATTCCGAACATTTATTTCTCAATCATTAAATAACAGTGCAAAATAGATACCAGCCACCAATTGCGGTTTGGTTAAATTTTTATTTCTGTAACCTTTTTGTATTCTTGTAAATTTAGATTTGATTAATTTTTGTTGTTTACTATAATTGTAATAGATTTTTAACCCAATATCTCTAGGTATGTCCATTAAACAGCAAAGAGAGCCTTTCTTTAATTAACTTTGGTTGAATTTTCTTCTTACTCAGCACTAGACTCTCTTCGCTGATAATTGAACCTGTGCTTTATTATATTGTTGTATTTGTAAAGGTACTTATTATTCATATTACTGCTTATTTTTATATGTATACCACCATTTAGTAATTGATGGTGTATTTTATTACTTGTGTGTACATTCAGCTACCGAAGGTTTCTTAATTTTCTCCTTAAACCCCAAAAAAATTGAGTGGCGCCCTGTTTCTATCTTATCGTATCTTTGGTAATTTCACCCATCTATCTTTTTGTTTATTTCTGTATCTTTTCTAATATACCTTATCTTGTTCTATCTTTACTTATTTCGTCCGTTGGACCCATTCCCGGTTCCAGAATCTAGTTTCGAACCCACCACTCGCTCTCCACCAACCATCTGGCTGCCGTCCGCAGTGTCTCCATTGGCAACCTTTCTAGCACCATCAAAAAAAGGTTTCCGAGGTTACAATATATTTATTTTAAAAATTGAAAGTTGCAATATTATATATCAATATTGAGACTGCTAGCACAGTTTTTCAATACAGAATAAATTATTTCACAAAAATACAACAAACCAGTTTGAAATGAAATTTTATTACAATTTTATATTAGATACCATAAAAAAATTGAAAATACTTAAAAATTATAATTATGGATAATATTAAAACAATTTAGACATAAATAAGGTTTGTTTTCACAAGTATCACAAAAGGTTGATACTTTTTTTGTTTTTCGATCTGCTTGGAGTTTCATCTTGTTGTGTTTGTTGTTGTTCCTATCACCAACCACCCAGTTTGTGTTTTTTTCTGGAAGGTGTATTCGAAAGCCGACTACTTTGAACATTATTGACCAATGCGTCGATGATACTTTCCCTAAATTTAAGGAGGTACATTTTTGTTCTATTATGGCAAAAACCTTTCTGTCTTACCCATGAATTTACCATCATTGTACCAAAAAGCAATTCCATAACTAATTTTCGATACCACGTAACTGTTTTTCTCAAAGTGCTGTAATAGGAACTTAGCTGGTCTGACATGTCTACACCCTTTTTGGTAGCATTATATGAATATTATGCAATCTGGTTTTTTATTGGATCACCAGCACGAGTATTTTTGTGCACTGTATTTCAATCATTTTACCTTTAATAATCCTTTACAGTTTTTATCATATCAAAATCTTGTCTTTTATTGGTCCATTTTATAATCTTTGGCACAGATCTATTATTAAAGCCCGAAACTTGGCCGCGTTTTTGTTTCTGGTTCAAAAAATCTTTGGGCAATTTATTTCTGTTGGATCGAAATGTACCACAAAATTTCTAATAAAGGTAAACTACTCTAAAAATTATCTGCATAGAGAACACATCCTTGTCTAAAGTCGCAAGTAATCGATAGTAATTTGATCAGCATGGCCAATTTCATTATTTGTTATTCCTGTTTGTTTTCCTGCATAAACCTTGGTGTTACATGTGTATCCATTAGGTAAACAAAGTTTATAAAATTTAACCCCATACTTGTGTGCCTTTAGAGAAATATACTAACTAAACGAGAGGCGACCTCTCCATGGCACCATGCTTTCATTTATAACTAAGTCTTTGCCTGGTCTTACCAACTCCGCACACTTAAATACCAGAATTTTAGCAACTGTAAAAATCGATCTCTTGAAAATAGATGTTTTATAAATTTGTTTCCGTATTTATCTTGCTTAGATGAAAATAATTTAATATCGGGGCAATTAATTATATATCTAATAAAAGAGCTTTTCTGAAAATTCTTTCGAAGTAAACGTTGAAAAGCAGGGGTTATAAGGGGCATCCCTGCCGTACTTCTCTTTTAATATTAAGAGCCTGTGATTTCACACCATCTACTAAAGCTGATGTTGTTTGATTCCAATATCAATTTGCAATTATTCGAACATCTCTGACGTCCAAGCCAATGTCTTTTAGAGCTTCGATCAATATAGAGTGCTTAACACGATCAAATGCCTTTTGGAAGTCAATAAAACAACAGTATATGTCTACAGATATATCTGTATAGATATATCTGTAGACTGTTTCTGCTTATGGGTCAACTTGAGGCTTATGTTTCTCAACAGGGGAATATGCTTGTCCCGTCTGGCGTAGATCTAGATACGCCCAACAAGTCACCACGAAGTTAAATGAAACATGTAGAACAATTACCGGTTGTATGAAGCCTACCCCTCTACCCCTACTGTATCGGGTAGCTAGATTCGCATCACCAGACGACCGTAGATGCGCCTCACAATATGTGGAGAAGTTCAGGCAAACTTTCGATGAAAGGCACCAATTATACGGGTTTGACGAACCATCAGGAATCAGCCGACTTAAATCATGGAAAAGGATTATAAGAAATGTCAGCCTCGAACCACCCTACATCCAGAACGACTTAATGGAATGAACCTGGACTGGGGAACCTGGCGGACACTCAACTGCATACGCACAGGTGTTGCCCCTGTTAAACAGATTCTCATTAAATGGACCATCAAGACAGATAGTGACGCACTTTGTGAATGTGAGGAAATACAGAATGTAGAGCACCTGAGAATATGCAGACTTTGCCCATCACAGTGCACCCTCGATGATTTATGGCTCGCAAATATAAAGGGTGTAGCCGTAGCCCGATATTGGGCAGAAAAACTGTAGTCGGGTCCAGACACGAAAAGGTAAAGTAAAGCTAAAGAGTGCAGATTTACGCGAATTCTTTTGTATTTTTCCGCGAATAAACTCAGTTTTATAAAGGAGTAAATAAAAAAAAACTTGACGCGATTTTTGCAATTTTTTAATAAATCTGGTGAGATTAATAAAATTTATCACTTTCATTGACCAGTCAAAGTAAAATTATTTTTAGAGATTATTGTTTAAAACCTATGACATGAAATTTTAATTTTAAGTTGTGGCAACAACATAAAAACTAAGAATTTAATGTTTTAATTTCAAAGGATTGCACGTCATGGGAAATGCCTCCAAAAATGCGGTTTTGGGAGTAGTGTATAGCAAAAGTTTGGTTCTTTTGAAAAACGTATTAGTTTAAATAAAAAAAAATTTAAACGTTTTGGATTGTTTGTAATGTGAAAGTTTGAATCCAGCGCTTTTTAAGCTTATTTCAAATGCGTCACATTTGTTGTCAATACTCAAAATTAAAATTTCGTGCTATCTGTTTTGAAGGTTAGGCTCTAGTTATCGAAACTTTATAGTAGCCAGTCAGTAAAAAGGGTAGAAGGTAATGACCTGATGAAAATCATACAAAATGGTAAAAATCGAGCGTGGTTTATTTATTTAACACTTTTATAAAATCCAAGTTTAGTTACGGCAAAATACAAAAATTGCATCCGAAAACTAAACTCTACCATCAAAATAGAACTTTATTTTTGTCGATAAGACACTCGGATCAAAAGATATTGAATTTTTACCGTTGAGCTGATACAAATTTTATTGACCATTGAATTCACGCACGTAAATGACATTCAAAATCGATGGTCGTTTCAAGCGTTGTTTCTGCGAGAACGGTTCATTCTACACAAAAAGTGATAATAAACATTTTTGTATAAAATTGGTTTTGATTTTTTGACATTTTTGATTTGAAACATTTTTTATGCGGCATACAGATTCTCGGTAAATCGTTTTTTTTGCGTTTTTACCCCACTACGAAGGGAGTTTTAGGGGGGAAACCCTGGAGTAAAAGTGGTCAACTTTGTGGCATCTTTTTTGAAGTCCCAAAATTAATACTCAGCAAAATTCAGCTTGTTCGTATAAAATTTAGAGGTTGAGTGTCATTTTAGTATCTTACGACTGGAATACGAATAGTTTAGTGAGGTTATAGTTCAAGCCAAAGGTGTCAAGAAATATAAAAATTAATAGGCCATTAAGAGGCCATACCCATGTTAAAAAATGGATCTTAAAAAATTCGGTTAATAAATCGGTTAAGAGAAAGTGATTTACAATTAATTTACATTCATTCATTAATCTCAACAGTGGTCAACAATGGTCAATTAAAAAAAAGGTATTTAAACTTCACAACATTTATTTTGCAACCTTTGTTAGATACATATAGCAATAAATTATATATATATATATATATATATATATATATATATATATATATATATATATATATGCTTAACACCTTTCTACACATTTCCCACTTGATGTATTTCTAAAGTATCCCTGATTACAAAAGCAACCAACACTACATGCTTGCAAACAAATTCGTTCAAATGAAGTGCTGTGAACGTCCTCGCAATTTTTTTCTGAACAAGCAGATCCGCATATTGTAAATGTTTCGTTGGGACCACATTTCTCTAAAAACAAAACGAAAATAATTAAAATATGTTAGTGTATCGTATTATAGCTGAAAAAGATATCAATGAGCAAATAAGGTATAAGTTATTGTTAAAATTATTACGATAATTACAAAATATAAACATATGAATAGATCTACACTTATACAATGTTTTGTAAACATCCATATTTTAATAGCTGAAACTTTTTATAAACAACATCCCGTAAAGATATATTATATATGAACTAGATTACCTTAATATTTTAGTGGCTCAGGCATGTTAACCTGCATTTTTAACCTGATGATGGAATTATTATTCCGAAAACGTTCGTGTTAATTTTATGTAGCCCTTTTAAGGATTTTTTAAATATACCCATTTACAAATATTTAACCTCTTTTTTATATATGAAAATAACCAGCAGATATAGAAGAACAGATCTTCACTACTCAAACACTGACAGCATTCTACTCGAACTCAGGTTCAAAAAATATATATATGGAGAGTGTTGTACCTTTGGGCAAATATCATGTCGTTTTGCTCAAAATGTTTAAAATTTGCTTTTTAGCGACCATTGAAGCATTCAGAAGTGGATACTACCTTTATCTATAAATGACAAAGTATAGGTCTATGGATTCGTTTCAGTTACCTTTTAAAAAATTTGAAATTTTTTTGACAGGTCGTCCAAAGGTACGACACTGCGTTGTACCTTTGTCCACATTATGTTGTACCTGTGGTCACAGAACAAATTACCTTCAATTAAAAAGAAACACACAAACGAACGGAATCTTATTTATTACATGAATTATAAGATGACAAACATGATTACTTTTACATTGTATGTATCCGCTGATTTACTTATAATCAAGGCTTGGTCAGATTCCAACTTACTTAGCTTAACGTGGATAAGACTGTAGCATTATCTTATAAAGGAGTCATGCAACCCTTGCTTTTGAATGAGAGCCAAATCAATATCGTAAATTCCGTGAAATTTCTAGGTATTCTCATTGACAGTGATCTCAAATGGTCCTTGCATACTGACTCCTTAAGGAAGAAACTAGCCTCAGCTTGCTTTGCAATAAGATCTGTTTCGAAGGAACTAAATTTATCTTCTGCCAAAATGGCATATTTCTCATTGTTCGAGTCCCATCTTCGATATGGGCTTCCATTTTGGGGTTCTAGTACAGCGGCCCAATTTGATACTATTTTTAAGTTGCAAAAAAGAGCAATCCGTTATCTATTTGGTCTCAAACAAACAACTCATTGCAAGACCTACTTCAAAAATCACGGAATTTTGACGCTTCCCTCTTTATTTATTTTGGAAACGGTTTGTTTGATTCGAAAGCATCTAAACATTTTTCCCGATAGACCTGACCATGGCTACTCCATTAGAAATTCGGATTGTAACGTTTATTTGCCGATCCCGTCCACTCAGCTAGTAAAGAATTCTATTCTATATCGTGCAAAGAAACTTTATAATCACCTTCCAAGAGAAATTAAATCCGCAACATCCTTCATTAAGTTTCGTAAGGTGACAAAAATCTATCTCTCAGAAAGACCATATTATTCAGTTGACGAGTTTCTTAATGTATAACAAAGAAACAAAATTAGTATTGTTTATAATTACATTTGGGTGTCTCAAGCAGTGGCTACAATTTGTCTCATTTGTTGTTGTCTGTACAAATTATGTAGGTTATACAATAATTTTACTAATTTAAAATTGTGTTATTCTGTTTTTTACTATATTTGTTTTTGTTTTATACTTTTTGTACTATTTGACTAATTTATTTTTTAGCTTTGTCCATAAAATTGTTCAATAATTTTCAGTGACAATAAAGCATATTTCTATTCTATTCTATCAAATTTAACATTAAAGAACATCATATTTTGTTGGCGCTGTGATGTTCCAACCAAATCTGGTGAAGGCAGTTTTTTTATTATGTCACCTTCGGAGACACAAGAGACTTCCTCATCTGAATAGACAAATTTATTGTTTCCAATAACTGTTTTTAAATATTTGACCATGTATTCGTCATCTAAAACCTCAACTATCTTGGCAACATAGTGTGCAATATTCTTTTTACTGGCCAATTTTACGAGAACAAAATCACCTTCTTTTAACTTAGAAGAGCTCAGTATTTCTTCACTTTCCTGTTGCTCTAATGAATAATTTTCATTTTCGTTTGCCAGAAAAGTTTCTAAATCCTCGTCACTTGAATCCTTTGTTATATTTTTCATCTCTTCATCAGATTTATCTGAACTATCGCAGAGAACCTTCTTTTGACTGACTTTGGTTTTTTCACCTTACTTTGCAATAGTTCCTCTTTCTCCGGGGTGTCTGTCAAAATTCTTGTTTTACCACGCTTTCGTCCCTTTTGAGAAGTCTTTCGAGCTACGGCTTTGGAGAATGGGCGCACTACAAACGGGCTTTTGAAGTCAGCGTTATTTGTCTTGTTGTCATTAGACTGCAGTGGAAGTGCCGGTGTCAAGTTTGATGTTGATGGATTTGCGGATAGTTGAAGGCTTGATGAGCAAGATGCGTATTAGGATTCTCTTCTGATTCTGGATTTGGGCGATCTGTTACATAGGACGACAGATATTCGTGGTCGCCAAATATATTTTCATTAACAGGCCATATCCTGTTTTTTCAAATCCTTTGACAATGTTTGCAGGGGTAAATGCTTTTGAAAATGACTTGCCTACGAGTTCAGCTACGTCATACAAGCTTATAGGACGTCCAGGATGGGTCATCATCCACTCATTAGCTATGGTGTTGTAGTAGGTTTTGTATGGTCCAAAAACAGTCCTGTCAAGAGGTTGAGTTCTGTGCGAGGTGTGTGGCGGCAACGTTAATAGCACAATATTATTTTCCTTCGCCAAATCAATCACGGAAACTGCAATATGGGACTCGTGATTATCGAGTATTAGTAGCACTTTTTCTTGCTCTCTCGGCTTAACGTGGGCTATAAAATGCTGCAAGTAGTGTAAAAAAAGCTTCTCGTTTGACCATCTTGATTGGCTCATGAACCTGGTGACCATGTAACATGTGGTCCTTGAAAAACACGCGAGGGAATATCAACATGGGCGGCACATGGTTACCGATGGCATTAACCGCAGCAATCAAAGTTACATTGATCCCTCTTTCTCCGGATGTCATACTACCCAGTTGCTTTACACCTTTTAAGGCTATTATCTTAGGTGAGGCATGGACTGAAGAATTCCCGGTTTCATCTAAATTATAGATATTGGCAGGGAAAACTTATAGCGTGACATTACTGTTTTAAGATTGTTGAAAAAAGCTTGGATATTTTCTTTGTTAAAACTGGTTGACCTTGCCAGGCTTGTAGCCTCGGGTTTCCTTAACGACAATGATGGATGCCGATTCATGAAGTGTCTTAGCCATTCTTTGCCTGCAGTTGCATTTGAAGTCCAATTGTCTGGTGTTTTTATCTTGTTTTCACGTGCGTATTGAAATGCTAAGATTCTTGCATCTTTTTTTGTGAGTCCATAATGAAGCGACGCTGCCTGTGTCAAGTACTGCTCCAACTGTGACTCTTGTTCAAGTGAAAACACTTTTTTAACATCGTTGTTCGCGTTGTATTCGAATGTAGGACGTTCGGAGTTTACATGAATTCGAATATGATTAGATAAGGTTGATCGACAAATATCATATTTTTTGGCAGCTTGTCGAACCGGAATCTTATTTTCGAGGACGTCTTCGACAGCTTTCTGCAAAGCACCTACATCCACTTTGTCTCTTTTTATTCCACTTTTGCTTCGTGGCATTTTTTCTGTAAAGAAGTTTGGTGTCAGTTTACTTGTTATTTAAGTAAAAAAGCATTAAAGTTCAATTTTGTAGAGTTTATTAGCCGAGTGCAGTGAGGTTAATAAATCACATGAGCGATAAAAATTGCCTTAATGCCGCGGTGCATATTAAAGCAAAGAGACCACTGAGCTTCCTCTGATTTGAAAATTATTTATTGCCTATGCATTAAAAACACACGTCAGTGCCGATTTTGCCTTACTTTAGTGTCTACTTTCAGTGAAATTACAGATAAATTAGAAAAAGTAAAATGTTTTGTCTTGTTGTACCTTTGGCCATTGCTAGTTGTACCTCTGGCTAGGCCAAAGGTACAACCAACGTAATGTCCCAAAGTACAACAATGTTTACGACTACCAAAACACATCAATTTTTTTAAGATTATGTAAACTTTATAGATTACAATCTTTGCTTCTAACATTCATTAAAAAAACTGAATAACGTTAATCTAAGATCGTTTTTGGAAAAAAGTTTAATAATGTCCTCTTGCAAGTTTAATATCCCGGATTAATCCACATTGAAGAAATCAAGTGATGACTTTATATATAAATCAACAATGACCCAAATACGAAAAGTCATGCGTGGTAATTACTTTTATGTTATTGTGGACGAAACTACAGTTGCTTGTTGAAGATATATTGTTCATTTGATAATTGGCGCAATAGAGAAACATGGACCAAGAAACTCATTTTTAATGTCTTCAAAATAACTTGAAAATGGCAAACTTTGATGAACTTCTTGTTATCAGATGCCATTCCATTAAATAAATTTGTCATTTTATTGTCGGATGCTGCACCATATATGGTGTAGGTGGGGCAAAATTTAAAAATATTTTATCAGAATCTTTTTCATATTACTTGTTTTAGCTCATGAAGTTAACAGAGTTGCAGGGATTATTGGAGCCAAAAGTGTTAAAGAAAGTATTCCTTAAGGCTCCTTTGCGAGTTCAATTATTAGAAAAAGAGACTTCGCGACGTACCGTTACCTCCCCAACCTGTAATAACTCGATAAGGGACTTGGCTAAGTGCAGCTATTTTTTAAATTCAAAATTATGATAAAATAAAGGATGTTATAAACGACATATCTGAATCTTTACAGGCTATTATATCATCAAAAGCAGTTTTCGATAATAAGGAGGCGCATAAAAGTTTGATATTTATTAAAACCAATTATATTTTTATCCTGGAAACAATTACGCTACTAGAAAAGAAATCGCAACTTCTAGTTGATTTTGTGGATATAATTTAAAATTTTCAAAAAGAATGCCAAAAAGTAAAAGGGAACATTGGTACAAAAGTTTTGGGAAAGCTTAAGCAGGTTTTAGAAAATAATTAAGGCTTCAAAATTATTCAGCATGTGTCATACATTTTTTGAGACCATTTTGATATATAAACGTGTATTGATGAAAACCTGTTGCACAAATTAAAATATGCACAAAAACAGAGACAGCAATCTAAATGGTATAAGATTGATTGAATTTGTTTTTGAAAATAATATGCATATTATAAGCACATATTTTGACCATAAGGAGATTTATAAAGGTACTTGGATATCACCAGATGATCAAAAAATTAATCAGATACAGCATATATTATTTGAAGCGAATCATATGAAGGCCTTTAAGGACAGTAGAAGATATAGAGGAGCAGATGCAAATTCAGATCACTTCCTGGTAAAAGTAAAAATGGAACAAGTGATACTCACATATACTAGAAGGAATAGCCAGAGGGTAAAATAATACTGTGCATAACGAAGAAATTAGAAAAAAAAATACAAGAATACGTAGAGGGAAAACTATCGAGACAGGAAGTAGCATAAAACATAGACAGTAGGTGGGAACGACTCAGAGAAACGACTCCCAAAGAAAACAAAAATATTGGTCTAATAATGATTGTAAGAGAGCGATTAAGGAGACTAATAGAGCCAGAATCAGTAGCATAAGAAAGAATAATTCTACTAACCATTAGAGAACTATATTATGAACAGAGAAGGGAGGCAAAGAAAATATGCAGAAAAAAGATGGTTATACCTGGAAAATAAATTAAATAATATTAATAATTTTGTAAATAACAAAGTTAAAAACTTCGACCAAGAAATTAAAAGAAAACAAAATCAATATAAAACCCCACCGAAATATTATAAGGATGAGGATGGACATTTGGTAGGAGAAATAAATGAAAAATTAGGCAGATGGGCCAGATATTTTTAAAAAGTATTAAACACCTATGAAGAACAATATCCTTAACCTTCGGGGTACGGAAAGTATTTGACTTACTTAGATTACGAAGATGGGTCAAGCGTGACCAATTCTCATTCTATTTATAAGAATGTTTTAAATAGTCATTATTATTAAACAGTATCTTTAATTCAACAAAAAAAAAACAAAGAAACATAAAAATTATGATCCCAAATTTTTGTATTTAAATTTTTTAAGATGGTTCACCATCGTGGTCTTTTTGGCAGTAGTTGCATTTAATTTTGACAATATGGACTTCTTCGCGTTGTGAATAAGTATTACAAACAAATCTTTTACACATGTCACACCTTTTTGAATATTTATTGTCACTACCCCTACAAGAATAACAACGACCTCGTTTTGTTGCAGATTTCGGCACTTCGATTTGCTTTTTTACACTAACACCGATGGTCTCTATTGCAACGATTACGGATTTAGGGTATCCGGTGGGTTCTTCTTGTATTGCTCCCGCTCTTCGTTTTATATTGGACGAGGTTAATTGTTTTCCAAGCTCCTCCAGAAATAGTTTTCTGCGATGTTTTATATTTACTTGGCTGTTCCATTCAGGATTTTTCGTATTCCAGAGAACGTAAGCATTGTAGCACGCAATATCCAAAAAGTTAAAAAATATACGTAAGGGCCATCTTCTTGTTGCTCTTTTACATGTGTACTCTCTGATTAATTTATCTAAAATATCGACTCCACTTTTGGTTTTGTTGTAATCCAAAATAATCTTTGGTTTAAATTTTTGGTTTTCATCAGAAATTTCATGTTCATTGTGCAAGGTCGATAATAATACAACAAACTTATTAGGCTTGGTTACATATGAAACTAAGGTAATGTTTTTAGTGAACAAAAATTTTGAAGAATACAGTGAGCGATCTGTCATTTCAAGCAATGATTTGGGTAAACTTTTTCTATTTTTTCTGATAGTACCCAAAAGAGTTAAACTTTTGGTTAACAGTTCTTCAGATAAAGCAATATCGGTAAAAAAAGTTGTCAGCTGTAATATTTCGACCAGACCTATACCAATGTTCTGCAAGTGTTTTGACAACTCCTTGGTTACGTTCAGATTGATCACCAATCTTTCCAGTATATATCTCAAAGTTACAGCAATAAAAATTTTCAGCGTCACATAGGGTCCAAGCCTTTATACCGTATTTCTTTGGTTTACTTGGTATATAAATCAGAAATGGACAACGTCCCCTAAAATCTATAAGCTGCTCGTCAATAGTACCAAAAGCAGATGGTTCGTATGATTCCCTACAATTTTGGGCAAATAGATCAGCGATTTCTCGAATAGGAGCTAAATTATCTCGTTCTCTTCTTTCTGCTCTCGTTTCCAAATTATCAAAGCGAATATGCTTCAAAATACTTATAAATCTATCCCCGCATAGAGATGCTTTATATATAGGACGCGTAAATGCATTATTTGTATTGGACCATAAATTATGCACCTTCTCATGGAACTCTCTGAACCTTCCACATAATATAAGTATACCAAAAAAACCACGCAGTTTGACTAGATCAACTTCAATCCAATCCTTCATTTTTTTCTCGTTCTTACTGTTATACGCAGCTATGAACTCAATAGCTCTCTTATTGGTATACTCAAGAATCATTGACATTATACTATCAGAAAAAAATAAATTGAAGGCATCTATGTCTCAATATTTTGACTTTTCTTAGTTAGACCTACGTTTTCTGTAATAAATTACATGCCAATATCTTACCCTTTTTTGGAGCTAAATAACGCCATGTTCGTCCTTCGCACAAAACATCAGATACGCTAGATCTTTCACTATCTATATTTTCAGAAGTTGTCGCTAAAACTTCCTCATTCTCGAGTTCAGTAATTGATAAATTACCTTCATGTGCTTCTGGCTCACAACCGTCATTATCACTCGCTTCACTATTGCTTTTATCCAGCTCTGCAACATCATCTTCTTCACTATCTGATAGGAGGTAAAGCATACAACTCAGCTTCACTCAAAGGTTTATTCTTTTTCCACATTTTGATATAATACTGCACACTTCAAGATCGATGCTTGAATTAAATTGATCAACAAACGTGGAATACCGCTTTACACCAAAGTTAGACCTCTCGTCTCGGACGTTCCCATAGAATATGCCTATTAGACACTACATTACTCCTAAGGTTAACTTCTATCTACTAATATTTCTACAAACATAATCATTTTGCCTTGAATACGTTCACTGGACAATAGAGACGGCTGCGTTTTACGTGTACCTGCAAACACTACATTACTCCCAAGGTTTCTATCTACTAATATTTCTACAAACAATCATTTTTCCTTGAATACGTTTACTGGAAAACAGAGACGGCTGCGTTTTACGTGTACCTACGAACACGTTGAAAAATTCTTCAAAATCCGCAGACCGGGTCAGGACTGACCCGACATCATAGATTTTACGTAGAGGAAAAACTGCAATTTGTATGTTGACGAATGATACACGAAAAAATAGATTGAAACAAATAAGGAGAACTTACGAACAATCAGATTTGTAAAAAAATTATTTCATGAAATATTAAGAAATAAGTGAATTTCGGGTCACGCTTGACCCAGTCTTCGTACTCCGAAGGTTAAACACGACAGCCACTTAAAGAGCCAATAAACAAATCAAAATGAAATACCAACAAAAGTAGAAATATTTGAAATAGAAAAGAGTTTAAAAAACAATAAAACACCTAGAGTAAATGGCATCATAGCAGAGTTCATAAAGGAAAATGCCCAAAGCCTACAGGAAGAAATCATAGAGTTGATACGTGTAGTATGTAGACCAAAGAGCAAATACCAAAACTGTGACGAGAAATCATACTATGCCCAATACAGAAAAAAGAAAATGTTACGGACTGTAAAAACTACGGGGTTGTAGCCCAAAATAAACATTACTGAACTTTTAATTATTTTATTGTTTTAAAACATACATATGTTTGACACTTTATAACATGTTCTAAATGAGCTTCTCCTTTCTCAAGACAGACTTCATATCAACATTCCAGATTTCTCGTAATAATATGGAATAAAGGTTCTCTCAAGTCTGCGAAGAAGAATCTAACGGCATCCTTTAACTCATTGATGGTTTGTAGTGCCCGTTTAAAAACGACAGTGTTTTGCCATGCATATATGCGTCTGGAGATTATTTTTTCTTTGCGCCGATTATTGTCTGTAAGTATTCTCCTTACTTTTGCAACTTTTGTGTTAAAACCTCTTATAATTATGTTCATATCATAAGATGGTATTTCAGATTTTCAAGTTGTTCTTATTAATAGTCTTTAATATCCTCATACTTTTTTGGGGTTTGTACATTTATAAATGTTGTTTTTTTTGCACTTTCCCCTTATTCTTAACTGACATAATCTGCTTGTTATCGGTTCAAAGTTCACCAATAATTTTCTTTTTAACATAAAACCCTACCCTAAATAGTCTTTTATGGTCTCCACTATTAAAGAATATTTATTTCTTAATATCTGTGCAGATAATTTCCTTTTTTTGGTTTATTGGATAGCAGAAATATCTTTATAAAATCTTAATAAAAAAATAACAGAGAAATGATAAAATGTGTTAGCAATTATTGCTATTTTTGATGAATAGATAACTTACTTTACACAAAATTATAGACGCGAGCCTCAAGTTTCGTCTACCCTAATAGGTACTTCGCATTTGGCAAGGGAAATCAACACGAAAATATTTAAATAAACTTTATAAATTAATAATAAAAAACATAATTGTCCAACAACCCTATTTCGTCAAACAATTTCACAGACCTGAATCCATAATAATTCTTAATATCAACTTACCAGGCTCAGATCTTTTCACCAAAGACTTTGTTGTATCGGTAAAGACCAGAATTAATAAGGCAAAAATTATCTTCATTCTGTTCTATCAAATAATCCGCTACTAGTAGTGTACATATGCTAATCAACGTAACTATTGATATGTATAGCAAAAACAAAGGTATATTCAGGTTGTAATGTGTTAGTACACATTACAACCTTGAATTAGTACAAAAAATACGAGGAACATTATAATTTGCTTATTTACCTTAGTTGTAAAATTTAAAAATGAATTTTAACATTATAAATGTCATATAATTGTTATTTTTCAGTAAATAATTATTTTATTTTAATTAGTAACAGTTGTATTGCTTTCCACATTGGGATCACTTATAAGGGGTTGAAAATTGGGGACAGAAATTACTGGGGTGGAGATAGGGTAAGCAAAACAAACGTGGAACGTTTACGAACGGCTACTCTTGTTTTGATTTGAGAGCTGTGTCATAGGTCAGTCAATGAAAAAATTGGGACTGTATATATATATATATATATATATATATATATATATATATATATATATATATATATATATATGGATATAAAATCTAATGGATTTTAACGATATGTGAGATAACTACAAAAGCCGTTAAAACCAAAGGTGCAGCTAGGTGGTTTTCGAAAATTATCTTCCTTTAATTTCTAATTTTCAATCTATCTTCTTCTTTAAGTGCCATCTCCGCGACGAAGGTTGGCAATCATCATGGTTGATGATTGCTAGGTACGACACGGCCTTGTCGTACCTAGCTCAAAAACACACAAAGGACAATCTGAAAAGACAAAACTTCTACAACAAACCCTTCTCTCTCTGATTCTCTGGCTCTCCGAAGTCAATTCCTCCAGGCGAAAAAGGTGCCACAACATCAGAAGAAAACGGAGAAGATCTTTGCGCCGGTGGTTTCCGGGCGTTTGCCTTTGTACGAACAACAACAAAACATTCAACTCTAGTCTGAAGAGGGTCAACCGACCCTAAACGGACACAAATCATTCTCCCCTCGAAATAAAGATATTCCCTTACCTTTCCTAAAAGAAATGAACACTGATTGATTGATTGAGGTCAACCAAGTCAGTCCCTCACGGGCTCTCCGAGAGCTTAGTGCTCTCGGGGCTCTGCTTCTCTTTTAGCTTTTTCCATACTCTGTGGCTGAGTATTATTTATACTGTATTTTGGTGTTTTATTTCGACAACCTAAAAAATTGTCATGTAAGAAATATCTTGCCTTTTTCAAGGCAAGTCGCTGAAACTGGACTGAATCCATAACCTGAAAATGGATTCAAGTAGAGGAGCTCACGATGTTTCTGAAGCCCTCTACAGAGCACCAGAGGCTACAGAAGGTGATTAAACCCTTAATAACTCCCCCCGAGGTGACGCACCACTAAATCTGTCGCGGAAGCAACCTGTCAAGTGCTTTGATCAATGACCGTTCTATAAAAGAACGTCATTACCTGTAACTAACTACCGCCGACTGTAAGTACAGTACCGATTCTCCAATTGTGATTTACCGAGTTTTTTATGATCAAAAACTCATCCTTGGTCCGATGCTACCTAAATCGTTAGGAATTAATTAAGTTTAGTACCTTTAATTTATTTAGAGGTTGTTTATTTTGAATCCAACAGAACGAAGTATTAATAGCAAAAATTTAAGAAATAATCCTGTAACACCTCTATTTTTGATTTTAATTTACCGTATTTTAAAATATTATTTTAATATACAGGGTGAATTACTTTCGAGTAATGACGTCACTGTAATTTTTTTGAATAGAACACTCCCATTTTGTTTCAATTTTCGGATTACTCTAGCTGAGCTGATTCCAAAAATGTATCACATGTTGATTCAAATTGGTACAGGGTGGACAAAAATTTAATAGTTTTGTGAGTGTTTATAAAGTAACGCATATGATAGCGACAAAAGTAACTCTGCGATATCGAGGAGAATATTATTGGACTTGGAGTGAGGATATTCTGCGATATTAGAAGTATAAGACTTTTGCTTCATTTTTACTCACGCTATGGATAAGTGGTTGAAATGAAATACAACCAGGAGAAACTTCAATTTCTAATGAAGCAGCAAGCAAGGTATTTAATATTTTTTAATACATAAAGCTACTTTTTTTAAATTACATTTTGCATTAATATTGTGTTGTTCTTATATTAGAAATCAACAACAATATGTTTTGGTTTCTAGTAGTGGTTACTAACACCATTGTTTACTTCTCTAGGTGTCTGAAAGACCAGCTCCAAAATAATCGAAAATTTATCATTTCCACAAGGATTGGAAAGTGGAATACTTATTTTTTTACTATGGTAAAATGAAATTGTTGCTGCTAAATCTGCAATACATCATACCTTAAAAAGGAAATTTAGAGCGTCACTAGCGGTTACTTCTAATAATATAATTCTTCCGCTGATATATTTTCTCGATCTACGTTTTGTAGTTTTGTGGCCAGTTGTAATTTGTAAAGAAATTTCTTTGAATCTTCTTTTAAGCTTTCTATATTTAGGGGATGTTACTTCTTGTTCCTTTTCTATATTCTGTACCTGAGTGTTATTGTTTTTGCGATAGTTAACTATCACGTTGGCCATAACTAAACGATGGTCGGATCCACATTCTAATCCACAGTATTCCCTTACGTCAGTTGTTTTCAGCTGGGAAGTTTGACGTAGCCAATATCATTTTCCTTTTTCCATTAGTCGTCTTTGCTTTGATCCATGCTTAGTATTTCAGGGCTTTTAGTCGAAATCTTTAGCATTTATTTGTTTTGACAAGGGATCAGTTGCTAGCCCATCGCCTCAACCCTCCTTCTTTATCCGGGCTTGGGACCGGCACCGGCATTTACTGAATCTTCTGAATTTTACAGGTAATTCATTTACGGTAAACGTTGCATAATTTCAATCGGACTGGTACAAAAAGCTTCCGTAGTTAATGCTTCTTCTTCTTCTTCTACGGCACTACAGCCCAAAATGAGCCTTGGCCTCCTTTATTTTTTGCCTCCACCCTTGTCTGTCTGTGGCTGCTCTTCTCCATACACGGACTCCTAAAAGTGCTTGTGCGTCGCTGCTTACTGTGTCTTCCCAGCGCTTTCTTGGCTTTCCAACTGGTCTCTTTCCCTGCATTCTGGCGTTCAGTGCTCGTTTTGGTAGCCTATCCTCTCCCATTCGTATCACATGTCCGGCCCATTGCAATCTTTGTATTCTAATGAAGTTTGACAGGGGTGTTTCCTTATACAGTTGATAGAGCTCGTTGTTATATCGAATTCTGAAGATTCCGTTTTCCCTCACAGGTCCTAGTATTCTCCTCAGTACTTTTCTTTCGAATGTGTCGAGTTTGTTTTTGGATGTTTCTTTCAGGACCCATGCTTCGCTGCCATAACATGCTATTGGCCGAATTAAAGTTTTATATATTCTCATCTTTGTATTTCGGTGGACACTTTTAGACCGAAATATATGGGAGAGGGCAAAATAAGCTTTGTTTGCCTGCGTTATCCTTTTTCGTATTTCTCCATCCTCTGCTCCATCGGCATATATTTCTACTCCCAGGTATGTAAACTTTCCAACCGTTTCAATGTCATCTTCATGTATAATGTTTTGTGGGATTATATTTCTTCTCGTCTGTACCATTATTTTTGTTTTTTCTGTGTTAATTTCCAGACCTAGCCTTTTCGTTTGTGTTTTTAACTCTGCGTATGCTTCCTGTGCTCCTGTTGATGTTCTACTCATAATATTAATATCATCGGCGTAGGCAGCCAGTTGAACCGTTTTATTGGTCAGTAGGTTTTCTCGTCCAGTTTGCATTTGCCTGACCGCATACTCCAGTGCCAGGTTAAACAATGTTGGTGCCAGCCCATCTCCCTGCTTTAGTCCCTGCGAGATTTTGAAAAAGTCTGTCCGGTTGTTTTGTATTCGTACACATGCCTGAGTTTCATCCATTGTGGCTTTAATGAGTCTAATTAGCTTATGTGGTATTGCTAATTCTGCCAATATATAGTATAGTCTGTCCCTTTTGACTGAATCGTATGCCTGTTTGAAGTCTACAAACACGTTGTGAACATCAATGTCGTGTTCCCACGATTTGCTCAAGACCTGCTTGACTGTAAATATTTGATCCATTGTCGATCTTCCCCGTCTGAAGCCCGTCTGATATTCTCCAATAATATTTTCTGCTAGTGGTTGGAGTCGCTGGTTTATAATATACGTGAGGACTTTATACGCTGTACATAGTAGAGAAATTCCACGGTAGTTTTTGCATTGGAGTTTGTCTCCTTTTTTATAGATTGGGCATACTATACTTTTCTTCCATTCGTCGGGTATTTTCTCTTCTTGCCATATTTCTTTGATAAGCGCGTGGATATGACTTGATAGGTGGTTGCCACCTACCTTATACAGTTCTGCTGGAATCTCGTCAACTCCCGGGGCTTTATTGTTTTTCTGGGCCTTAATAGCTTCGAGAACTTCCTCTATGGTTGGAGCTTCTACTTCAACTTCGTTCTCTTCTACATGGTTCGTACCCATTTCATCTTCCATATCTACTTGTGTTCCAAGTAGGGTCTGAAAATAATGCTTCCAGGTTTCTGTGACTTTCTGTTGGTCACTGATTATTTGCCCACTTTCATCTTTGCATAGGCTTGTTTGAGGTTTATATCCACTTTTTATCTTTTTTAGGTATTCGTAAGCTCCTCTAATTTCGTTTTTTTTTTGAAATTTTGTTCCATTTCTTCTATTTGTCCATTTTCATAAGCTCTCTTTTTGTTTCTGCATATCTTGTCTGCTTTCCGTCTTGCGACTTCAAATGATGTTCGTCTTTCCCGTGTTCTTCTTGTTATGTACATTTTGTGCGCTTCGTTTCTTTCTTCTATCGCTTGCCTGCACTCGTCATCAAACCATGTTCCTCTTCTCTTCTTTTTCTTGTTTCCCACGGTGGACGCTGCTGCTGTCAGCACTGCTGTTTTGATATTATTCCATTTGCTCTCTATGGAGTGCAGTTCTTGTGTCCTTAGCTCATTTGTGACTTCTTGCTCGAACTTCTCTCTACATTCCTGAGTCTTCAGTTTTTCCAGGTCTAGTTTGTTTGTTCTTTGTTGTCTTTCGTTTCTTTCTCTGTTAACTCTGCACCTAAATTTGGTTTGCAGTAAAAGATGGTCTGATCCACAGCATGCTCCTCGTCGTGTTCTCACATCAGAGATACTACTGGCTGCCCTTTTGTCTATCATCACATGGTCAATTTGATTGGTTGTGGTTCCATCTGGTGAGATCCACGTCATTTTGTGTATGTCTTTATGTGGGAAGCATGTGGAGCTTATAACCATGTTTTTACTGGTGGCAAAATTTATCAAAAACTCCCCATTCTCGCTTGTTTCATTGTGCAGTGAGTGTTTTCCTGTTGTGCCATAGAACTGTGGTTCCTTGCCTATTTTGGCATTCATATCACCCATTATAACCTTAATGTCATTTTTTGGCGCGTTGTCATATACTATCTCCAGCTGTTGGTAGAAGCTTTCCTTTGTATGTTTCTCTTGTTCATCTGTTGTGCAGTAGATGTTTATCATAGTAAGGTTGAAGAAGTGGGTGCGAATTCTTAGTTTGCATATCCTTTCATTCACTGCCTGGAAGTCTATGATTTTTGACTTAAAATCATTATCTACCACAAATGCAACTCCACATTCTTTGATTCCTTGTTCTTTGCCACTATATAGAATTGTGTGCGTTTTGGTGTCCCTGACACCTTTCCCCAGCCATCTTGTCTCCTGAAGAGCAGTGATCATAAGATTATATCTTTTTAGTTCTTGTAGTTAATGCTGTATTTGTATAAATGTGAGTTTGGTTGTCTTTGCATTGTAAATATTTTAAATCTATTTAACTATTTATCTATTATACTTTTATCATCTTTATTATAGGTATACATTACATTATCCGATAAGACATACCAAAAACATCGTAAATAACAAAAAAATTAACATTAAGTCTACTAAAAGAATAGATAATAATTATTTAAAGCGTTAACCGGAAAAATACTGTATATAATTACTTCTAAAATCTGTTTATATAAATATTGCAATTATAGTTTTGTTTACTATTGTTCTAGCTCTGAGTTACGCAAAAGTAATTTTGAAAATGAAGTTTTTGGTTTTCTGCATTGTTTTGAGCGTCTTTGTGACTTTGGTATTCTCACAGACAGGTATGTATCTTCTTTCGTGCTAAAATTATTATTCATAACTTGATAAATAGTTAGAACTTTCTGAAACGATCAATTTTTTCTCCACTGTATCTGACTTTTGCAATAATTATTTACTTTTTTCTTGTACTCATATTGATACTGTATAATATCCATACAATGCCATCGAAAAAATCGTAATTTAGATGAATAATTTAATATTTTTTTAACATTGTCAATCTAAACTTTGGGTGGGCCTATATTTTAACAAATTTATTCAGGAAAATTAAGTAAAAACATTATCTTTGTCTTTCGGAGCTCTTTCTTCGTAAAAATTTTCACATGTAATAAAAAAAAACTATCGTAATTGTGCATGAAAAATAACAAAAAAAGTAGGTTAAAAAAAATTAAATTTTAAATATCAAAATCGGTATACTTATGTAAAAAAATAATTTTCTCGACTTCCAATAAAGTAATTAACCCCCTCTGTGGCTCAGTGGTAAGAGCGCCTGCCTTTAAATCTAAAGGTCGTGAGTTCGAATCCCACCTGGGTGGAAATTTTCGTTTATTAAAAAAAAATTAATAAGTGAAAATAATTTCTATCCTTGTGTGATCGGTACACACCGGAGGGCCGCAGACGTTCGGATACAATTAGCGTCTCTTAGCAAAGACAATGACGTCGACTTTGCTAAGTATCAAGACAATTACTCTACACACACACACACACACTACACCTCAAATTGTAAGATTGGCGAATGGATTTAGTGTCCGCAGTCATTTAAACACAAACAAACAACAAATAAAGTAATTTTTTTTATTTTTTTATTCCGATGTAAATCAAATAAGATATCTAAAAAACGCATTACCAAATGTCAGATATTTTAGTTTTGTTATAAATAGGTTTATTTATTCATATACCAGTCGTCAGAAATGAAAATGCCACCGAACCTCTAAAAATAATACGAACAATCTAAATATTTTTGAGAATGTTTTTTTTATTTTGGGACCCAAAAAAAATATGCAAAATGTTTACTATTTTTACCCCCGGCTGTCCCCTAAAACCACCATCCCGTGTAATAAAAAAACGGAAAAAAAAAACGATTTACCAAGAATCTGTGAGTCGTAGGAAAAATATTTCCAATAAAAGTATAAAAAAAAAATATCATTTTATAACGAATATTTTGCCTACAATATAGGGTATTAGTGTCATCGAGTGCCATAGTCGCAAGACTAATACGCACTTCGATGCGCATCGCCCCGCCTCGAATTTTCCCATTGGTTCTTGACCTGGAAATCCCTATTTATCGCTCGAACAGCGGATATAAATATTGGCGATTTTCAGGTCAACCAGGTCAGTCCCTCACGGTCAGAGCTGGGCTCTCCGAGAGCTTAGTGCTCTCGGGGATCTACTTCTTGTTTTTAGCTTTCCCATACTCTGTGACTAAGTATTATTCGACTGAATATTTGGAGTTATTATTTCGACTTTACCCCATTGTCATGTATGAAATATCTTGCCTTTATTAAGGCAAGTCACTGAAGACGACGACCTGATGTTTATTTCGATGTAGTATTATCATGTAAGAAATATCTCGTCTTTCTCAAGATGAGCCAACACGAGGCAATACATTCACAAGTCCATACCCTGGAAATGGAATTAAGTAGAGAGGCTATTGCTGACATTTCCAAAGTCCTCTACAGAACACCCGGAGGTTACAGAAGGTGGATAAACCCTTGTTTGTTCCCCCGAGGTGACATTAGTATAAGGGATTCAAAATTGGGGACAGAAATTATTGGGGTAGAGATAAGTCAAGCAAAACAAATCGAAACTTAGGCGAACGGCCACTCGGGATTTATTTGGAGAACTGGGTCGTGGATAAGTGAATGACAAGGAGATTAGATTAAAACAACTACAAAAATTCCTGCTGGATGAAAGATGGCTCTTCCTTCATAAAAAAACACAAAAGAGGTTATAAACTTTATTAACAAAAGAAATAAACAAATTGGTTTAGGGAAAAAATTTAACATTTATTGTTATCTTATCACAAACAGTTATAAAACAGTTAATACAAAAAAATACCATATAAATAGTTACAAAGATAAATACCAAAATATCAAAGGAAAAACACTTACTACGTCCTATCAAACTTTTAAAGTTGAAGATACTACAATACTTACAGAACTGGTAGCAGAAATACATTATTTACAAATAAAAAAATATCTTTTTAAATGAAACTAAGCCAATACTGTCGTATATCAATACCAAATCTTAAAACTGAGAACAATTAAAATAACAGCTAAGCCACACCCTAAGATATTGTGACGTTTATATAGTTCTAATTTATTTGTCTTTATTCTAATTTATTGTCTATATTCTAATTTATTAAAACTCACGATAGCTAATTACTAATTTATTAAATAACTTTACAAATGTATTTATTTCACGTTTCGTTACATTTAAATATCGCGTTTACCGATCTTCTTATGACTGACTCAAATACAAAAATCTTTCATTTATATACACAACTGTTGTCATCTGGAACTTTCGGCAAACTTCCTGAATAATCTCGTATTTTGGTGAAGGCGCTCGACTCGTTTTTCAACCTCGAGACGTGGATGACTCACTAAAATTAGTGTCTAGAGATTTCTGTAAACAACTGGTAGCGAAGCTCAGGTATATTTTGACCTACAAATTACGAGAATCAATAAAAAAGAATTAGTCATAAAATATTTACAGTTCTATATGCCATAACATTTAAAATCGTAACATTGCCCCCCTCTTAAAAGATGGTTCCTCCTGGAACCTTGTCGGGACTGGAACTTGAACGACATGCTGATATCGGCAACTGGACCCTCTTTTACAACTTCCAGTTGTATAGAAATGACAAGGGACGGTTTTCTCTCCGCAGCAGTAACTATGCGGATTGCAACAGACTAACACCTGGACTTCGGTGTCTTTAAAGATTTCCTCCACCATGTTTCGTATAACCCTCCAATCTAATTGGCGGCACTCCAACTTTGGCATGGCTAACTTTTGCACGTCGGACTCTAGTACGTGCTCTCTCAACTGAAGTAAGGCTTCCCATACATCTCGGTAGGTAGGTTGGTCACGGGCAGTGTCTTTTGTTACCAGGTAGAAAAGGTAACGTGATGCATCTTGAAGTTTCAAGGTTTTACCAGGAGCTGGCACTTGGCATTGAAGTTCTGCAACTCGACCAAACTTCCTTCGAAAGACGGATGCCAACCCTGGTGCATCTTTGATACTGGCCGGGATGGTAAGGGCCAGTGAGTAGTCATCGGGAAGCGCGAGTAGATCTTGCCTTTCTTCAGTGGTAACACCATGTCTTGCTTTACCGGTACCTCCATAGGCACCCATGAATTCCTCAAACGTGAGGTCAGACACATCTTGGACTTGGTTTACTTCCACTTCTTCATCTACGTCGTGGTCACCCTCGAAAGACGCCAACCGGTTATGGTGTACTATCATCGGCTTTCCTCTCGGAATCTTGCTTATTCGGTAAATAACATCATTGATCTTCTCCATAATGAGGTATGGACCTTCCCAAAACTGCTGCAATTTGGGAGAACAACCTTTTCGCTTTTTGGGGTTATAAAGCCAGACTTTATCGTTCTTCTTAAAACACCCCTTTTCGGCTTGTGTATCGTACCGTTTCTTCATTCGGTCACTAGCGATTTGGAGATGGGAACGGACCAACTCGTGTACATCGTCCATTCTTCTTCGTAATTCGATCACATAATCTTCACCTGCTACATCTTCTCCAGGTCGACACCCAAACTCTAGATCACAAGGTAGTCGCATCTCGCGTCCGAATAGGACTCTGGCTGGTGTCTGGCCTGTTGATTCATTAACAGCAGATCTGTAGGCCATTGTGAAGAACGGAAGATATTGGTCCCAGTCTCGCTGATGATCGGATACCATCTTTGTCAAATACTTGCCAACTGTTCTATTCATTCGTTCTACCATACCATCCGATTGCGGATGATAAGCCGTAGTTCTTGTTTTCTTCATACCTAGTCTATCACATATTCCTTGGAATAAATCGCTTTCGAAGTTCCTGCCTTGGTCACTATGGATCTCCAAAGGCACTCCAAATCGGCTGATATATTCTTGGATCAACTTATCTGCAACGGTGGCCGCCTTCTGGTCTGGAAGTGCGTAAATCTCGACCCACTTAGTGAAGTAATCCATTACTACCAACATGTACTTGCCTCCATTATCACTTTCTGGAAATGGCCCAGCAATGTCCAAAGCTATTCTTTCAAACGGGCTTCCAACATTATATTGTCTCATAGGAGCTCTCCTTTTTCGATAAGGCCCGTTACTCGTAGCACAAATAGTACATTTCTTACACCAGTCTTTTACATCGTCGGAACTGTTCATCCAATAAAACCGTTCCCGAATTCGCTGAAGGGTCTTCTTCACACCAAAATGCCCTCCTGATGGACTGTCGTGTAACTGACGAAGTACTTCGGCTATTCTGCTCTTTGGAATCACCAACTGTCTTCTCTTCTCTGAACCGTCATCATTTTCCAGGACTCGTTTGAGCAAGCCATCTTCCATGATAAATGAGTCCCACTGGGCCCAATACGTCTTAACTATTGAGCCTAGGTTCGATATTTCTTGCCAAGGTGGTCGACGGTTTTCTTCTTTCCATTTTCGGATTTTCTGTATAACTGGATCTCTCTCTTGTTCTTCCCTGATCTTGGTAGGCGTCCAGTCGTCGTGGACCACCGTCGTTCTTAGCACTGCTGCTTCCTTGGATTCCGTTTTGTTGCAGTGAGAACACTCTGCTGGGCATGGCCTTCTGGAAAGAGAATCAGCGTTTCGGTGGCTAACTCCGGCCCGGTGCTCAATCTTAAAATCATATTCTTGGAGTCGTTCGATCCACCTGGCTATCTGACCCTCTGGATTCTTAAACTGCATCAACCACTTAAGGGCGGCATGGTCGGTTCGGATTAAAAATTTCCTTCCATAGAGGTATTGATAGAAGTGCTCTACTGATTTTACTACTGCCAGAAGTTCTCTTCTCGTGACGCAATAATTCCGCTCAGGTTTTGAGAGAACTTTACTGAAATATCCAAGGACTCTTTCCTGTCCTCCCTGAATCTGAGACAGCACTCCTCCAATTCCCACATTACTTGCATCTGTATCTAAGATGAACTCTCCTTCTGGCAGTGGATACCCTAAAATTGGTGCTGTGATTAAATGCTTTTTTAAGGTCTCAAAGGCATTTTGGCAGTCTACATCCCAGCGGTATTCTCTTGCTTCCTCTGTAAGTCGCGTTAATGGTTTAGCGATATCTGCAAACTTCTTAATAAACCTCCGGTAATAAGTACATAGTCCAAGAAAACTTCTCACTTGATGTTTGTCAGTTGGTTTTGGCCATTCCTTAATGGAATCGATTTTTCCCTTATCCACGGCCACTCCTTCTTTACTGACTATATGACCCAGATAATTGACTTTACCTTGAAATAGCTGGCACTTCTTGGGGTTTAACATCAATTGGGCAGCTTTAAGTCGATTAAAAACGTTTTCTAAATTCTTCAGATGGTCCTCAAATGTCTCCCCCAAGACGATTATGTCGTCTAGATAAACTAGGCATGTTTTCCAAGATAACCCTCTCAACACATTTTCCATAAGCCTCTCAAATGTTGCAGGAGCGTTACAAAGTCCAAATGGCATAACGTTGAATTGCCATAATCCAGATCCTGTGTTGAAGGCTGTCTTTTCTTTATCTACCGGGTCCATTTCTACCTGCCAGTATCCAGACTTCAAATCCAAAGTAGAAAATAATTTACTTCCAGCCAATGTGTCCAATGTGTCATCGATCCGAGGCAGAGGATAACTATCTTTCTTGGTAACGTTGTTCAGCAAACGGTAATCCACACAGAACCTCGTTGTTCCGTCTTTCTTCTTAACCAGGACCACCGGAGAGACCCATGGGCTCGTAGAAGGTTCTATCACCCCGTCTTTCTTCATTTCCTGAACAATCGTTTCAGCTTCCTCTCTTTTCGCCTGTGGTAATCGTCGAGCTGTTTGACGAATTGGCTTAGCATTACCAGTATCAATTTTATGCTTAACAACGGTAGTTCTTCCCGTCTTTCCTCCTTTCGGTACGAAAATATCACGATACTGCCGAAGAAATTCCTTTAATTTCCTTTTCTCAATCTGATTCAGAGACCGTCCAGCAACCGCAACCATTTGATCAAATTTATCGTTGGAATTATCAGACGTTGTCGTCTGACGGATTATGGATGTGACAGGTACACAAGTTCCTACTTTTGTCTCTTTCTTGATGGTCACTGGGTAGTCATTGACATTAATAAGTCTCACAGGAATTTCTTTAGCCGAAGTCACTAATTCTTTTCCAATTATGATTCCACTGTGACGTTTATATAGTTCTAATTTATTTGTCTTTATTCTAATTTATTGTCTATATTCTAATTTATTAAAACTCACGATAGCTAATTACTAATTTATTAAATAACTTTACAAATGTATTTATTTTACGTTTCGTTACATTTAAATATCGCGTTTACCGATCTTCTTATGACTGACTCAAATACAAAAATCTTTCATTTATATACACAACTGTTGTCATCTGGAACTTTCGGCAAACTTCCTGAATAATCTCGTATTTTGGTGAAGGCGCTCGACTCGTTTTTCAACCTCGAGACGTGGATGACTCACTAAAATTAGTGTCTAGAGATTTCTGTAAACAACTGGTAGCGAAGCTCAGGTATATTTTGACCTACAAATTACGAGAATCAATAAAAAAGAATTAGTCATAAAATATTTACAGTTCTATATGCCATAACATTTAAAATCGTAACAATATACAATTTTAATTATTACAATTTCTTAAATTGTTATGGAAACAATTATTATTAGAAAATGTTTATCTTTAAAAATCAGCACAAAAGAGTTACATGGATTTCTCTAAAATTTATTTACTTTAAATTACTGGGGGTGGAAACTCTCTGCCATACTAAGAAATTCAACTCCAAATTGCGAATAAGTATTCTGAAAAGAGAACGAATTTGAAGAGAAATTCGGACTCCAATAAAACTAAGCACGCTTTTATCAGCGGCTGGCCTTACCGAGAGTGATGTTATTATCTTTAAAATTCATTCGCCTTGGTACTAACTTAGTATAAACAAAACATACAAACGGGAATATTCTGTTCAATTGATGACGAAAAATATCTTAAAGCTGTTTCGATCAAGAGAATACGAAGGAAATACCCATCTGTGATATACAAACAAACTGTAAAATATGTTTATTATCAACTTGATGACGCAAAAAGGATTGATATAATTTTTGGGAGTTTTAACGTATATGGGGTGATTTCAATATATACCAAAGAATTTAAAAATGCTTCAATTTAGTTAAGACAATTTTAAACAAAAATGTTCATTAGCACTTTTTTTTAAAGATGAAGAACATTGTTTTATTGGAAGCCGAGAAAATTAATTTATTTATCGATTTTATTTATTTTATTATATTATTTAATTGCCATGGTAAGTGTTTAAAAAAATGAAAAAAATTAATTATTATTTAATTGTATCGATTTTAATATTTGTAATTCAAGTTTCTTCAACTTAATTGTTTGATATTTTTTACCGCAATACTGACGGTTTTTATTATTATAATATATATTATAAATATCTTAAAGATATGAAAATTTTTATCAAGTAAGAGCTCCGAAAGAAAAGGGTAATGGTTTCAAGATTATCATCCTCTTATTTATATCTGCATCGCAAATGCCGGTCAACTTTGACCAGTTGTATCTCAGGAACCAGTGCTCGTAATTCAACTTTTTTTTTTTATAACAAACGTTATAACAAACGTCTTGACGGATCTTTTCTCAATTTAATGTAATGTAGTAGTTGCTAAGATATTCTATTTATTTGTAAGCCAAAATATTATTTATAGTTATAAACCATTGCTGAAGCAATCGAAGTAATCCGATTTTTTTTTTTTCATAAAGTGCTTTAAATAGGTTTAGTGCATTTTTATAATTAAAAAAAATTTGTAATAAATTCAAATATTACTAACCAACCGTATTATAGAAAATTTAATTGTAGCTATTTTATTTCATAACAACTTTGCTCCATAATGTCAATTACTATTACTAAAGTTATCACTTAACTATTTAATTTCTGCAAAAATCCGATTCCAACCTCTCACATCCAAATTTAATAGTTTTTTTCACGGTTTCGCCCTGGTCTTATATGGTTTTCATTTAATAATAATATAAAGGTATTAAAGATTGGTATCTAGTTTCAAATACTATCAAGATGTTTCACTGGTGGTCCGACTGGATCGAAAACATTTTGATGAAGATATTTGTAATCCTTTTGGACAAGTTTTAAAAATTTAAATAATAAAAATATACCGTCATGAATCAAACGTCTTTATTTCTTTGTATGTTTTTTAAACTATGGTATACAGAAACCACTGGGATTTTTCCTTTTATTTTGTAACTGATATCAATGTTTTGTAGTTACCATTATTTGATTAATCTTAAGTTTAACTATTTTTTAGAAAAGCAATGTCCAGCAAATTCACATCAAGGATGTGCCCCATGCTGTCCTGATCCAACCTGTAGTAACAGGAAACCGGGATGTCCTGACAAAATATGCACGGGCGAATGCAAATACAAATGCAGATGTGACGAAGGTTTCATCTACAATAATGTTGGTGATTGCGTACGTCCTGACGCTTGTCCTAATGCTTAACTTTGTTTGTTTGTTTGTTAAAAAGTTTCTTAAAGTATGTAATATAGTATCTTGTTGCTAATAGAAAGATTTGTTATAAATTTTTGTTCTGATTATCTATTATTATTATTAAGAATAAAATATCGTACTCCTTAAATTACAAAATAAAATAGTTTTGTATTCAATATTGTTAATAATGGAAATTATTATCTTGTTTATTTTTGCTTATTTTTTTAACTAAAATATAGCAGTTTTATATTCAAAATTGTTAATAATTTAAAGTATTCTCTTCTTTATTCTTGCTCATTTTTCTCTTCAACTCTTCTTCTTCTTCTTTTGGCATCATAACCCTGGATGGGTCTTTGCCTGTCTGGCTATGTCCTTCCATTCAGATCTCTCTTGTGCCCTTCTTCTCCATTGTCTTATGTTCATTGTTTTCAGGTCGTCTTCCACGTCATCCAACCATCTCGTTCTGGGCCTTCCTTTTTTCGCCTTCCTATGGGCTTCCATTGTAACATTTTCTTTGTTGTTTTTGCATCGTTTTGTCTCTGCACATGTCCCAGCCATGACAGTCTTTGACTTTTCACAAATCTTACAATGTCATAACCTTCATTTAACTCATTAACCTCGTCGTTTCTCCTGATTCTCCATGTGCCATCTTCATCTTGTACCGGGCCATATACTTTCCTCAGTATTTTTCTCTCGAATGTCCTTAGTTGGGCTTCATCTTTTTTCGTCATTACCCAAGTTTCACATCCATAGGTTACTAAGGGTCTAATCAGTGTTCTGTAGATAGTCATTTTGGTTCTTTCTTCGCTTCAACTACTACATTTGAAATACATTTATCGATGGAGAGCATATCCATGTATTGCTAAATTTATTCAACAGCATCAATAAATCATCAAACCAACTGTAGTTTAGTTTGGCTTTGGCACTAGGGAGGTATTATTTACTGTACAAATACTACTAGAACGGTATGACGTATTCATATACAAGACAGAAGGCTGGCAAATAGCTAAATGGGCCTGCAGCCTTGAAATATAATAACTAGTATTGCCCAATTGCAAGAACAAGACGAGATTTAGATAGTCTTGGTCTTGGTCTTACGCCAATACACCTGGTCTTGGTGTTGGTATTGCGCTCCCGATTTTGGTCTTGGTCTTGATCTTGCAGCAAGAGTGTTGCAAGGCTCGCAGTTACCCATCAGCCTTTTCCTATTTAGTTGTTTTAGTACGTTGTTTTAGATCTAAGAACAACGTAATAGAGTAGGTACATTTTAAGCTTGACTTAACATAGCCATAATAAAGACCCACCAAATTAATAAATGTCTAAACAACTGACACCGGGTGGACTTTGAATACACGATCTAAGCGATCCGTGCCTATGTTTTAACTAACTGAGCTATATACCAAGCCCCACAAGAGTCAATCTGTTTCTTAGTAAACGTGTTTCTCAATAAACGTTTGCATTTAATAAGCTTACATGTGCTAAAACATGGTTAAAACACAAAAAAAAACAAATTAATGACATAAACTTAACTCTATTTTAAAGAACATTATCTGTCTAGAAAGGGATTAATAGACCCTAACCATATATAAAATGGAAATCTTAAAAAAGATTGGTATGTGGCAAAAAATCCACATACATGTATCAAGGGCACAGATTCTTTAGGTTATAAGATAACAAACTATAATACACTTATTAAATCAAAATAAATGTGTTAACAATCTTAGCTCTACGTTTATTTAAAATACTAACTTGAAAAATGAAGATTGGGTAAAATATCACTGATAATCAAAAGCAGTTATTTTAAATTAAGGAGATACCTATTACAGAAGATAAGCTGACGTGTTTTAGTTTTTCATTTTTATTTCAACCTTTCTATGTTGGCTCAATTTACACAAAGCAATTTGGGATGCATGAATTATTACAAAATCTCTTAAATCTCAACTCCAACTCTCATTAGTCTGACTAGAACTATTTGAAGCTTCGTCCTTATGTCAAATTGTAAACTTGTCAGTCCGAAGACAACAAGGATTAGATGAAAAAAATTACGAGTAGTGCAATAGACTCGAAGGAAAGCTTAATTGGGAATGAAGTTTAGTGATGTCGAAAAACTACTAGTTACTTTATGTACATTACTATCCAATATCCTAAGTATCCAATATACCTGCAGGCAACAACCACTGTCAAATTACATTCTAACAGTAATCGCATAAAAACAGAACGGGGGGTTAGACAAGGAGACCCAATGTCACCTAAACTTTTTAATACGGTGCTAGAACATGCTTTTAAGAATTTGGATTGGATGACAAACGGAATAAAAATAGATGGAGAATATCTAAACAACTTACGTTTCGCCGATGATATACTTATAATAGCTGAAGATCTAGGTATGGCAAGAGAGATGGTACAGGAACTCGTTGTGGCTACAGAAAATGTAGGTTTAAATATAAATATGTCGAAAACAAAAATCATGACCAATTTGGTGCCCAACCAGAACATCAGTATTGGTGGGAAAGAAATAGAACTCGTAGGTAGATATAAATACCTGGGACATGAAATTATGATTGGCAGAGATAACCAGACTCATGAACTGAAGAGAAGAGTCGGCCTTGGGTGGGCAGCATTTGGAAAACTGAGAGAAACTTTTAAAAGTGAGCTGCCCACATGCCTAAAGAGAAAGGTATTTGATCAGTGCGTCCTCCCAGTCTTGACGTACGGAGCAGAAACACTTACCTTAACAAAAGCAGCAGCTACCAAACTGAGAGTCACGCAGAGAAGAATGGAGCGGTCCATGTTAGGAATAACTCTGCGAGACAGAATAACAAACGAAGACATCAGGAGAAGAACCGGAGTGACTGACATCATCGAGAAGATAGCCAGACTAAAATGGAGATGGGCAGGACACATAGCCAGAATGACAGATGGGCGATGGACAAAGAGGTTATTGGAATGGAGGCCAAGGGAAGACAAGAGAAGCGTCGGTCGACCACCTACAAGATGGACTGACGATTTAAGAAGACTCAATAAAAACTGGATAAGAGCGGCGCAAGATAGACGGGGTTGGAAACATGAGGAAGAGGCCTATGTTCAGCAATGGACTCTTGAGGCTGGATGATGATGATCCTAAGTACCGAATAACAAACTGAGAATTATATATCGTTAGTTCGTTACTCTTAAAGATTTATCTCATCACACACTCAGCAGAAAAGGTCTTAGGCCGATAAGATTGCTTTATTTAGATTCCTCCACTAAATTATAGTAGGAAAAAACTTGAATTATTAAGTAGGTGTCCGTAACAGCAAATATTATATTTTTTATCAGCTAAGATGACATATTTTTAAAAAGTTTCGATACAATATTACTGTCGGCGTCGCAATGCAAGAAGATTATTTTATGATTAAAGGTCGTCTGCTGGGAGAGAATATACAAAATATTTATTTTTACATTGAGATCAGTTACATTTACCTCTGAGCATGTGTCAAATGAGACAAGGGTTCTTTTAATAAATATTTTTATTTCGAATTTCGTTTATGGTATTGTTCGTAATGCGCATAAGTCCAGTTTTCCAAATTTTTGTTACGTTTTTTGTGTCTCATAGAGTCTCTAAGCATCTACCCGAACTACTATACTCAGTAAAACGACACTCAATCCTAACTGCAAGACGCAAGAGTCTTGCTGGCTTAGTCTTGTTCTTAATTAAATCTTGCACGGTGAGTCTTGGTCTTGCTCTTACTGAAATTAGGCGATCTTGGTCTTGGTCTTGGTCTTGCGAAAACGCAAGAGCAGGACCAAGACTGCAAGACCAAGACCAATTTTGGGCAACGCTAAGAACGGCGTATTGAGATAGCCAGAAGCGCTTTTATTGAGATTAAAGTAGTATTATGCAATGGAAAACTGGGAATAGAGAAAATAAAACGAAAGAGTAATAAGATGTTACGTATTATCTGCCTTTTTATGTAGTGTTAAAGCCTGGATAATAACGGACGCAACTAAATAAGACTTGTCAGCTTTGAGATGTAGTGTTATCGATGAATGTGGAAAATGTCATGGATACAACAGGAAAAAAATACGGAAACACTAAAAAAATGAAAAAAGAAAAAGAAATATTCAACACTATAAAGGAAAGAAAAATGAGCTACTTTGGTCACATACTAAGAAAGAAAAAAAAGTTGATGCGATTGATTATACAAGGGGCCAGATTAGCATCCTAACCATTGTAAAAGAAAACAATGCTCGAAGAACCGATGTAAAGCCTCGAAACCAGATGGAACCTAAGATGACGAACCACGCAAAGAAAGGGAAAACGAGAAGGAAAAATAAGCACACAATCAGATAAGCAACATGGAACATTACTTCTTTCAACAATAAAGACCAAGCGTTAATGGAAGAACTGATAAAGAAAAACATTGACTTGGATTTGTGCAATCTAAGTAACCGAGAAGAAAGATAAAGCCCAAAGAGACTATAACCAATATTTTCTAGCATACAGTAAAGTGAAGAAAGAAGAACGAGTACGAGCAGGCGTAGCTATAATTATCCATAAAAAAATTAAACACAACATAAATAACTGCCGTTGTATCTCCGAAAGAATAATACATGTTTATGAACATCGCAATGGAATACCAAAAATTAAATGTCATATATATATATATATATATATATATATATATATATATATATATATATATATATATATATATATATATATATAGCCCCGAGAACTGCAAACTTAAGGAGGAACGAGAAGCATTGTACGAACAATTGCAAACCATTCTCGATGAAATACCTCATGAGGAACCCTTAATTTTTATAGGTGACTTTAATGCACCAATCGGAATTGAAATAGTTTCAGGAATAAAACAAAGATTTAATGAAAATCATGTCAATGGAAATGGAGAACTCATGGCTAATATTTGTGCTTTTAACGAACTGATAATAAATAATACATTATTCGACCATATGTTCCAGTATAAATATACATTTAAAAACTTCAGGGGACAAACAAATCTATGATTGATTTTATACTCCCTAACAGAAAAATTCACAGAAACCAGATTTTAGATATCCGAACTTTAACTCGGGAGACGCAGGGAGTGAACATAAACTTGTACTAGCAAAAATAAGAATGAATATAACACCAAAACATTTTCTACAGAAAATAACCGAGAAAACATTCAATGTAGAATCACTTTGGGGTAACTCTACAAGAGA